TGAACAATCTCCATCCACTGAAGCACATGTAGTGTCACTCATCTCCCTGTGGCATGGACTTGTACACCATCTTCACACCACTACTGCAGTAATAATGAATACTACTTCTGTCACTGCTACCACAGATCCTTTCAGAGTTTGCAAACAGAATACTCTCTAAAGTCTGGTGTCATTTCATATTTAGCTCCAATGCATTTTCAATGGGTGAGTTAGCGTTAGCCTCCAAACATCACATGTGATGTAAACCAGAGATGTTTTGGAGACTGACAGTCATTTATGTGAGAAACACCAGAGCTGGAAAACAACAAGTATGTGTAGCAACATTAAGTTTACTTTATTACTGCAGTTGTTAATGTAGTTTGACCAGACACTATTTACACAGGACAGTCCCAGTGTTGAGCCTGTGTCCCCTGTCCCAACAGAATTATACAAAACCACTCATTTGTCCCAGTTTTGTACAAGAAATGTCCCAGGTGTCCCTATTTTGAACCAATCTGATCCTACAACAGTAAAGAGAGACACGCATTGTCATTTGTCTAGGTAAAATACAGAAAATACAAAGACAATGTGACTAGACTGACTCATGTTAGTCATGTCTGCCAAGTCTAGAATCATATGTGTGTGTTTGTGTACAGAGGAGTGTCAGTCTGGTCAAACGTCTGGTGAAATGAAGGAGTTCATTGGTCAACATCATTTACAAACAAAAATATTTCTCTCCTCAGATGAACAGAGTTGAGTGATTCACTCAAGTTTATTGTTGGTATACAGCACATATATGATTTTATGGTCTACAAAGATCTAGCATTATGTTGTTGTTTTTTTGTTTTTTTTTTGCTGCCTGTGTAAAATTAATGGTGCTGCTACTACAACCACCACTACTACTACTACTACTACTATTTCTACTACTACCACTACTTCCACTACTACTATTATTACTACAGCTGCTACTACTTCTACTACTACTACTAACAGTACATCTACTACTACCACTACATCTACCACTACTACTACTGCTACTTTTACTTCTGTTACTACTGCTACTTCTACTGCTGCCACTACCTCTTCTTCTACTACTACTATTACTACGACTACTACTACTACTACTACTACTACTACTACGACTACCACTACTACTGCTACTGCTACTACTACCACTACTTCTACTACTACTATTATTACTACGGCTACTACTACTACATCTACTACTACAACTACGACTACTATTACTATGACTACTACCACTCCTTCTACTACTACAACAGCTACTATGACTACGACCCTTACTTCTACTACAACTATTATTACTAAGACTACTACTACTACTACTACTACTACTACTACTACTACTACTACTACCACTACTACTACCACTACTACTTTTTCTATTTAGTGCTGCTACTTCTACTTCTACTACTGCCATTACTACTATGATTACCACGGCTACTATTACTACAACTACTACCGCTACTTCTACTTCTACTACTACTACTATTAAGACTAATATTTCTACTTCTATTGCTCTTACTGCTATCAACAGTAGCAGTAATACTTCTACACTCTCTGCTGGCTCGTGTTTGAAAGTACTGTCACTCTCCTGAGCGTAACACACTTCAGTCCAGCAGAAGGATGTAAATCTTTCATGTCGAGCTCAGAGCAGAGACACGCTCTATTATCATGTCACACGTGTAACTGTCGCCATGGAGACCACAAGGTGACATACAGATAGAGGTGCGCTATATCCCCGTCACACCTGTACATGCGCTTTATAAGAGGGGTTATAAATGTGAGCGATGAATGTCGGGAGGAAGAACAGGAATGTAAAACCTGCTGGATCAAGAGTGGCGGATACATAGACAAAATTAGTATTAGATTTTTATTTATTTACTTATTTTTACAGAGTGTGAATTGACCATGTGCCAGGAGTTGTGAATTGTATCATTTGTGTACAGTTGGGTAAACTATCTCCGGTGTTTGAAATCCTTGTTTCCTTGTGATGTCATAGGTGGCGTCCTTTGTAATATTATTTAAGACTCCAAGATGCAAGTGTGAATTGAGCAGCGTGGAAAGAAGTTACAAGGTTTTAACCTTACCATCCACCCGCCCGCCGGCGGGCGATTTTCCAATAAAAAATGTTCACTCTGTATATTCACCTTCATTATTGTTTTCACTACTGGCATGCCATACATCGTTTGAAAGCTTAATTTATCAATAAAACAACCATATCATTCATTTTATGCCGTACAACGAGCCCAAAACGCTATAACTTAAAAATTCACATCATAAACAAAGAATAAGATACGCGTTTCTTACCTTTGAGCCGGTTCTGTCGGTCCAAAACGCGTTCAATCCATGAAAAGTTGTACTCAATAAATCCGTAATAATCCACAGAAAAAGAATATCAAGTTGTTTTTCCAAAAAATAATTCCATGTGGGGAAATAATCCAGAAAATCGTCGTCCGTATGAGTGGATGAATCCGTGAATGAAAATATTATGTCTCTT